AGGATTTCTCCTAAAAGGTTTTTAATGGCAATATTATGATTTGTGTCATGTGTATTTATGTCCCACTTTCTTCATATAGGAGTCCCCAGTGGTGCAGCGGGTTACACCGCTGAGCTGCTGAACTTGCTGACCAAAAGCTCGGCAGTTCGAATCCATGGAGCAGGGTAAGCTCCCAGCTTCTGCCAACCTAGCAGTTCAAAAACATGCAAATGTGAGTAGATCAATATGTACTGCCTTGGTGGGAAGGATCAGCACTCCATGCAGTCATGCTGGCCACATGACCTTGGAGGTGTCTACGGACAATGTTGGCTCTTCGGCTTAGAAATGGAGATGAGCACCACCCCCCAGAGTCGACACGACTAGACTTTACCGTCTTCACATGTTCCTGGATTATAAATGTCATTTCCTAATTCTGCAGATAGTCTGGGGCGGGACCATTTAGAGCTTTGTAAGTAATGACCAGCACTTTGTATTTAGCCCAAAAGCAGATTGGAAGCCAGTGGAGCTGCCATAGCATGGGAGTCGTCCTCTCACGATACGATGCTCCTGTTAGTAACCTGGCCACCAATCTCTGCACCAGTTGAAGTTCCAAACTATCTTCAAAGGCAGCCCCACATAGAAAGTGTTGCAGTAGTCCAAATGGGAAATAACCAAGGCATGGACTACCATGGTCCAATCTGGCATCTCAAGGAATGTGCACAACCAGCGCACAACTGTGCGAAGGTGCTCCTGGCCACTTCTGATATCTGGGGTTCCAGGGTCAGCAATAAATCCAGGATCACCCCTAGACCGTAGACCTGTGTCTTCAGGGGGAGTGTGACTCCATCCAACACAGGCTGTAATCCCACACCCTGATCTGTCTTCCAACTGACCAGGAGTACCTCTGTCTCATCTGGATTTACCTTCAATTTATTAGCCCTCATTCAGTCCATCACTGATGTCAGGCTTCAGTTTAGAGGTAGGATGGCATCCTTGGCTTTTGATGGAAAGGAGTACAGTGTTCCCTCACTTATTGCGGGTGTTACGTTTCAAGACCACCCGCGAAAAGTGAAAATCCACGAAGCAGGGATGCTATATATTTATATCAAGTTCTGAAGGTGAGGCAGAAGCGAAGAGAGATTTAAGGGCACTGCACACTTTATTTTTTGCTAGCTATCTCTGCTTTGTTTTGCATTCTCTCTTTATTGGCTACCTGTCTCCCGAGGTGGAGGATGAAACCCCCTTCCACACTCCATCGTTGCCAGGAGGCAAGATTAGAACACTGCTCTGGACAATGGCAACCATTCAACTGGGAGGCAAAAACCCACAAAACAGCGAGTCCACGAAAAGTGAACCGCGAAGTAGAGAGGGAACACTAATAGAGTTGGTTGTCATTGGTGTAAATTTGACACCAAACTCCAAAACTCCAGATGATCTCTCCCAGGGCTTTCATGTAAATCAGTGGTTCCCAACCTTTGGGCCTCTCGGTGTTTTGGACTTCAACTCCCAGAAAGCTGTTGGGAACTGTGGGAGCTGAAGTCCAAAACACCTAGAGGCCCAAAGGTTGGGAACCATTGATATAAATGTTAAACAGCATGGGGGACAGAACTGAACCCCGAGAGACCCCACAGGCTTCCAGCCAGGGAGTCAAACGGGAGTCCCCCAGCTTCACCATCTGGGTACGTCCGTCCAGGAAGGACCACAGCCACTGCAAAACAGTTCCTCCCAATCCCATCTTGGACAGGCGGCCCAGAAGGATATCATTATAGATGGTGTTGAAAGCTGCTGAGAGGTCTAGGAGAACTAGAAGGGACGCACTTTCCCCGTCCAGTTCTCTTCATAGATCATCCACCAAGGTGATCAATGCCATCTCTGTCCTGTGGCCAGGCCTGAAACTAGATTGAGATGGAGCCAGGTAATAGGTTTCGTCCAAGAAACTTTGGAGTTGTGATGCCACCACCTTATCTAGAACCTTGCCCAGGAAGGAGGGATGTGAAACTGGTCTATAACTACTCAGTTGAGTGGGATCCAGTGCTGGTTTCTTTAACAAAGGTATTATTATTGCCTCCCTAGATCAAATTATAGACTATTATGTGTCTTCAAGTCATCTCTGACTTATGGTGACCCTATCATAACATTTTCTTGCACTATATTTATTTGGAGGAGGTTTGCTATTGCCTTGCTCTGAGGCTGAGAGAGTGTGACTCGCCCAAGGTCACCAAGGGAGTTTCGATGACAAGAAAGATGCAAAGCCCCTATATAATATCACCAGGATTAATGCCAAATACCAACCAAAGGGCCTTGAAGGCATCAAGGAACCTTTCACTGCTCCAAAGAAATCAAGTTCCTTTACATAAAGTATGAATGGGGTGGGAGGGGCAGCCTGATTCATTCTGGAATTAAACTGTTCCCATTCTGGTCCCCCAAAAGTGATAACTAGCAGGATGCCGACTTTCAAGGAGTGATCTAAAACCGCCCCCAACTTCCAAGAATATCCTGCATGGTTTCTTCTCCCTCCCACCCAAATGGAAATTGGTTTGCTGCACCAAGAGAAAGAAAATGAATGGAAAGTGTTGGCCTTTTGGGAGAGTTTCCATGATGGATTGCTGAAGTGTCAAACTGAAAAGGGGCCTCCAAGGATCACCTAGCCTGACCCCTAAGAGGTCAGTATCAAAGCTTGGTTTTCAAATCCCAATGAAGAAGAGTCGTTCCAGTGCTGATCATTCCTTACCACCAGCAAATTCTTCCTAATCTTTATATTGCATATATATCTCCTGACTATGTACACAGTGTCTACTCAACATGTATACTTTTTATCAGGTGATAGCAACTGTGGAATGAATGCGGTTTGACACCACTTGAACTGCCCCGGCTCAAGACTATGGAATTTTGGGAGAGTTGTGGTTTGACAAGGTCTGTCAAATGGCGCAGGAGCCTCACCAAATCACATTTCCTGGGATTCCAAAGCATTTAGCTAGGGCAGATCAAGCAGTGTCAAACAACATTCGATCTACAGTGTATTAAAAAAAATAAGCCCCCACCTACACTGCGATATAACCCAGGGCACTTCAACATAGCCATATAACCCAGAATATCAAGGAAGATAATCCTGAGAAAAAACTTATAGTATCACAAAGGACTACCACCTCATCTGCTTCATAGGAAATATGCACAAAACAGGAGCTTTTTGTTGAATTCCATGGCCAGAGAAGCAAATGGCAAAAAGAGAAGGGCCTGCCTCAGGGGAGCATGCTTGCTCCATCAATGTTTAACATTCACACAAATGATCAGAAAGGACAGAGTTTCATCTATGCTGATGATCACCGGTCAAGCTCTTCCTGCCTATTACTGGGAAAACCAGCTGATTCCTAATCCATCTAAAACACAGACATGTGCTTTCCATCTTAAGAACAACGAAGCATCTCAAGCTCTGAGGATCACCTAGGAAGGAATCCCACTGGGGCATTGCAGCACACCCAGATACCTGGGAATTTCCCTGGACTGTGCTCTGACCTACAAGAAGCACTGCCTGGCTATCAAGCAAAACGTAGGCTCTAGAAACAATATCATACAAAAGCTGACTGGCACAGCCTGGGGATCACAACCAGACACAGTGAAGACATCTGCCCTTGCGCTTTGCTACTCTGCTGCTGAATACGCATACCCAGTGTGGAACGCATCTCGTCACGCTAAAACAGTGAATGTGGCTCTTAATGAGACATGCCACATTATTACAGGATATCTATGTCCTACACCACTGGAGAAATTACACTGTTTAGGTTGTATTGCACCACCTGACATCTGCTGGGAAGTAGCAGCCAATAATGAAAGGACCAAGGCAGTGACATCTCCAGCCCCTCCCCTGTTTGGATATCAGCCAGCATACCAATGCCTTAAATCAAAAGACAGCTTTCTAAGATCTACAGAGATACTCGCAGGAACACTCAGCAAGCAAGAGTCCAAAAGGGGCAGGCTAAAACCCATAAATTGAATCAGTGTCTGACACCGCACAAGAGACTCTCTCCGGAGCATACAGAAGATGAGGTGACTTGGAAGTCACTGAACAGGCTTCACTCTGGCACAACGAGATGCAGAGCCAACCTTAAGAAATGGGGCCACAAAGTGGAGTCCACGACATGTGAGTGTGAAGAAGAGCAAGCCATAGACCACCTATTACAATGCAGCCTGAGCCCTGCCACATGCACAATGGAGGACCTTCTTATAGCAACACCAGAGGCACCCCAAGTGGCCAGCTACTGGTCAAAGGATATTTAGCATAATGCCAAGTTTTAAAAACTTTGTGTTTTTAAATACATTACAACTGTACCCTCAGTTTGCTTCTGATACGATAAAAAATTGAGTCCACACTGCCATATATTCCAGTTCAAAGCAGATAATATGAGATTTTATTCAGCTGCATGGACGGGGCCATAGGGTCCTTCCACACGACCCTATATCCCAGAATATCAAGGCAGAAAATTGGTTGTTGTAGGTTTTTCGTGCTGTATGGCCATGTTCAAGAAGCATTCTCTCCTGATGTTTTGCCCGTATCTGTGCCAAGCATCCTCAAAGGTTGTGAGGATGCTCACAACCTCTGAGGATGCTTGTCACAGATGCAGGCGAAACGTCAGGAGAAAATGCTTCTAGAACATAGCCATACAGCCCGAAAAACTTTCAAAAACCCAGTGATTCCTAGGACAACGAAAGCCTTCGACAAGGCAGAAAACCCCACAATATCTGGTTTGAACTGGGTTATCTGAGTCCACACTGCTATATATCCCAGGTCAAAGCTGATAATGTGGGGTTTTATTCAGCTGTGTGGAAGGGGCCTTATCAGAAGTGTCCTTTGAGGAAGGGAAAAAGCCAGGCGAGAGAAGTCCCGAGCGGTGGCTTTAAGGCACTAACGAGCTCCTCCCGCCCTGTATGCAAATGAGGCGGGGGTCGGGGGGCCAATGAGGAACGCCCGAAGGGGCGGAGCTATGGGGTCCTGAGTCCTCCCCCCCCCCCACCCCTCGACAGCCAAAACCGGCGTCAGGGGCTGCGTTGTCGGGGCTTTTGCGCGGAGGAAGGACGGCGAGAGAAGTTGCTTGGAGAGCTTTTGGAGAGCTGGCGTTGCGCGCGGCCCCGACGCCCCAGGGAGCGCGCGTGGAGCCGGGGACCCCCTTCGGAAGGCAGCCCAGGGGCCGGGGTCTCCAACAAGTGCCAAAAAGTCCGGGTTTGGGGTTTGGATTGAGGGGAGAATTGGAGCTTTCCCCATTGCGCGCTTGCCTCTTTTTGGACGGCGCGCGTTTGGAGAGGTGGGTCCCCCTCTCCAAAAAGGGACCCCTCTCTTGCCGCTTCCCTCCTCCTCCTCCTTGTTTCCGATGCTGGCGATGATGAGCGAGGGCGACGCCAAAGCCTTGCGGGCGGCCAGCCCCACGGACGGCGGGTCGCTTTCCCCGGACAACTCCGACTCGGAGGCGCCTTCCTCTCCCAACGGGTCGGAAGGCGCGACTCAGAAGCGGGCCAAGGATGCCGGAGAGGCGCAGAGCCCTTCGGAGGCGGACGAGCGCTTCCCGGCCTGCATCCGCGACGCCGTCTCCCAGGTGCTGAAGGGCTACGACTGGAGCCTGGTGCCCATGCCCACGCGGGGCCACGGCGCCCTCAAGGCCAAGCCCCACGTCAAGCGGCCCATGAACGCCTTCATGGTCTGGGCTCAGGCTGCCCGGAGGAAGCTGGCCGACCAGTACCCGCACCTCCACAACGCCGAGCTCAGCAAGACCCTGGGCAAGCTCTGGCGGTGAGTCCATGCGCGTAGGTAGATAGATAGACAGACAGACAGACAGACAGACAGAAGAAGGGGGCACGCTCGAGGCAAACAAGTTTGCCCATGCCTGGTCCACAGTGAGCATATAATGCCCTTTCAACCTTTATTATTTGACCATCACCTGGTCTCAGGTGTGAATTCAGAGCCCAGAAGTGTTTGGGATTGTTTAGCCTGGAGATTGTGGGAGATCCAGTTCTCCTCCCTCCCTAAGTAAAAGGAAAGGGCCTGAGGCTGTTAGGAATGGTGGGAGTTGAGTCCAAAACATCTGACGGGCCAAAGTTGGGCCATGCCTGATCTATGCAAAAGGAACCCTTTTAACACACGTTTGATCCAAGCCGGTTCCTTTTTGCAGAACCACATTCGGAAAGGGACCCCCCCCCCCAGAGATCATGTAGTCCAACCCCTGGAAGCCAATGCAAGGGAACCCACAACTCAAAAGGCAACTGTAGCCTTCCAAACTCTTGATTTGAAAAGTCGAGGTTGCTTCGAGAGTAAGGATTTCTCTTAGAGCCCTTCCACACATCTGAATAAAATCCCACACTATCCGCTTGGAACATGGATATATAACATGCTTTATTGTCTTTGTACTCATATGTTGTATGTATTTTACTGTGTTGTTATTGTGTTTTGGTTTTACTTTATTGTAATATGCTGTTGGACTTGGCCTCATGTAAGCCGCCCCGAGTCCCCATTGGAGAGATGGTGGCGGGGTATTAAATAAATATTATTATTATTATTATTATTATTATTATTATTATATGGCAGTGTGGACTCAAATAACCCAGTTCAAAGCAAATATTGCAGGATTTTCTGCCTTGATATTCTGGGATATAGGGCTGTGTGGAAGGGCCCACAGCTATATAACCCAGGACCCTTCCACACAGCTGTATAAATCCACAATCTCCTCTTTTAACTAGATTATATGGCAGTGTGGGCTCAAGCAGTGTGGATTTCTTATCCCACATGATCTGGCATTGGAGAGGAGACATGGGGCCCTTCCACACAGCCATATAATCCAGAATATCAAGGCAGGTTTTTTTTTTTATCATTATCAGAAGCGACTTGTGCAAATTGCTTCTGGTGTGAGAGAATTGGCCATCTGTAGAGATGTTGCCCAGGGGATGCCCAGATGTGTTACCACCCTGCTGGGAGGCTTCTCCCATGTCTTCGCAAGTTCGAGCTGACAGACAGGAACTCACTCCACTTTGCAGATTCAAACTGGCAACCTTCAGGTCAGCAACCCAATCTTCAGGTCAGCAGTCCAGCTGGCACAAGAGTTTAACCCGGCATTTCTCAACCTGGGGAGGTTGTGAAGGGGGTGTCAGAGAGGTTGCCAAAGACCATAATAAAACACAGTGTTTTCTGTTAGTTATGGAAGTTCTGTGTGGGAAGTTTGGCCCAATCCTATCGTTGATGGGGTTCAGCATGCTCTTTGATTATAGGTGAACTACAAATCCAAGCAACAACAACTCCCAAATGTCAAGGTCTATTTTCCCTAAACTCCAGCAGTATTTACATTTGGGCATATTGAGTATTCGTGCCAAGTTTGGTCCAGATCCATCATTGTTTGAGTCCACAGTGCTGTCTGGAGATAGGTGAACTACAACTCCAAAACTCAAGGTCAATGCCCACCAAACCCTTCCCATATTTTCTGTTGGTCATTGGAGTTCAGTGTGTCAAGTTTGGTTCAATTCCATCATTGGTGGAGTTCAGAATGCTCTTTGATTGTAGGTGAACGATAAATCCCAGCAACTACAACTCCCAAATGACAAAATCAACCCCCCCCCCCCCCAACCTCATCAGTATTCAAATTTGGGCATGTTGGGTATTTGTTCCAAATTTGATCCAGTGAATGAAAATATATCCTGCATATCAGATATTTACATTACAATTCACAACAGTAGCAAAATTATAGTTATGAAGTAGAAACAAAAACAATGTTCTGGTAGGAGGTCACCACAACATGAGGAACTGTATTAAAGGGTTGCGGCATTACGAAAGTTGAGAACCACTGGTTTAACCCATTGCACCATCGCGGCTCCTTCAAGGTAGATAATTCACAATATCTGCTTCCACCTGGGTTATCGGAGTCTGCACTGCCAGATAATCCAGTTCAGTTCAGATTTTATTAAACCGTGTGGGAGGGGCCTTAGAAGGGTCTTAATGGCAATATTATATATGTATTTCTATCCCATTTGAGGATTTCTCCTAGAAGTCTTTTCATGGCAATATTATGATATGTGTTATATGTATTTACGATATATCTCATTTCCTTCACATAAATAAAATCAGTTTAGAGACTATTATACTACGTAGCACGTATTTTGTTCCTGAGTTAGAAATGCCATTTCCAAATTCGTTATATTATATTTTTTAAAAGCATGGAAAAAAGTTTATTAAACTTGAAAAAACTTTGTGTCACTGGGTTGCTGTGAGTTTTCCAGGCTGTATGGCCATGTTCCAGAAGCCTTCTCTCCTGACGTTTCGCCTGCACCTATGAAAGGTATTCTCAGAGGTTGTGAGGTCTTTTGGAAACTAGGCAAGTGGGGTTTATATATCTGTGGAATAATGTCCAGGGTCTTGTCTGCTTGAGGCAAGTGTGAATGTTGCCAATGGCCATCTTGATTAGTGTTTAATGGCCTTATCTAAAATCAGGACAGTAAATAAAGAGCAACAGTCACAAAACAGGGGAATTCCAGACAAGAATCAATCAGGGCTAGCTAACACCTCTCAACAAGGGATTCCTCCAGGCAGCAACCAGTCAGGCTTTGATGCTGCAAGGCCATTCATTGCTAATTAAGGTGACCATTTGCAACATTCACACTTGCCTCAATTGAACAAGAGTTCTTTCTCTCACCCTGAACATTATTCCACAGATACATACACCTCACTTGCCTAGTTTCCAACAAACCTCCCAACCTCTGAGGATGTCTGCCATAGATGTGGGTGAAACATTAGGAGAGAATGCTTCTGGAACATGGCCAGACGGCCCAGAAAACTCACAGCAACTCGTTGAAAAACTTTGTTTTTGCAGGACATCCTGCTATAGCACATTTTACTCTAGTTTTTCAATGAATATCTCCTTGATTGTCGACCAATGCAACATACTTTGTAGCAGCCATGAAAACAAAGTTTCTGGTATGTAACAGCTACTTTTGCGGGAGAGACACCCTGCAGCACATGTTGCTCTAGTTTTTCAATGAATGCCTCATTTAGACCCCTTCAACACTGCTATATGAAATCCAGATAATTTGATTTGGTAGTCTGGATTATATAGCAGTGTAGAAAGGGGGCCAGAGTCACAACGAATTCAACCTCCTATGTGGCAGCTACAAAAATGAAGTTTCTGGAGCACAACAATTCCTTTCGAAGTAATTATCGTACAATTAAACAGGAAATGACATTATCAAACCAGGAACAGAATTTTTTTGTTAATTTTTTGTTATATAATGTTATCTGGCAGTGGAGACTCTGGCCCCTTCTACACTGCCCTATATCTCAAGATCTGATCCCAGATTATCTGTTTTGAAGTGGATTATATGAGCCCGCACTGCCAGATAATCCAATTTGAAACAGATAATCTGGATTTTATATGACAGTGTCAAAGGGGCCCAAGAGTTCCATACAATAAATACAGGCAGTTCCCAAGTTAAGTAAAGGTAAATGTTTCCCCTTGATGTGTCCGACTCTGGGTGGGGTGGGTGGCGGGGTGGTGCTCATCTCCATTTCTACGCTGAAGATCCAGCGTTGTCCGTAGATACCTCCAAGGTAATTTGGCCAGAATGACTGCATGGAGCATGGTTACCTTCCCACCGAAGCAGTGCCTATTGATCTACTCACATTTGCATGTTTCTGAACTGTTAGGTTGACAGAAGCCGGGGCTAACAGTGGGAGCTCACCCTGCTCCCCGAATTACTAACCAAGTTACTAACTTACAAATGACTCATAGGTAAGAATAGGGCTGAGACAACAGGGAGAGGAATCTTCCCCTTGAAAGGAAGGGGAATTTACTTCTGGAAAGGTTATTATTGTGGGGAAAGGGGGTTCCATTGAAGCTTTCTCTCCAATCCTTGTTTCCACAACAAACCATTTTTTTCAAAATCTTATTCTGACAGGGACAGAAAGTGAAGTGGAATCTTTTGAATAGGGGCACAGTCAGCAAAACAAGCATCATAGGGATCATAACTCTTCTGTATGCTATCCAAAGCTGATAGATAGATAGATAGATAGATAGATAGATAGATAGATAGATAGATAGATAGAGTCGCCCTTGGGCTGAGAATTGCGGTATATAAGCGCAGTAAATAGATAGATAGATAGATAGATAGATAGATAGATAGATAGATAGATAGATGAGAGTGGGTCAAAAAGTAATGCCTCCTGTGTCATAAAAACATTATGAATGAACATATAACAGCAAAAGTCGCTACAGGTCATAGCCTGAACTGTCCTCTATACAAAACTACCATTCAGCATAGTCACAATCAATTTGTACACATTTTACACCATCGTTTAACCCAGGCATCAAAACCATTTTGGAAACATTCAGGGTTTTGCTTCATGACCCATGGTTTTAAAGCTGTTTTAACATCACTCAAGTCACTGAATCTGAAACCACATAGGTTGTCTTTCAGAGGTCCAAACAGGTAAAAAAAGTCAGAAGGGGCCAAATCATAAACATTCTTCAAGCCATTATGGATTTCCTTAGGTGGCCAACCTTCCTCAGTGATGACGCTTTCTTTTAGCTTCAGATTCATGGTTCTAATCAGTCAACTGGAAAAAGAAAAGACTATATCAGCAAGGTTACCTCTATCATATCATGCACTGATAGTCCAATAGCTGTGAAAGAAAAAAAGTTGAAACAATGGAGGCATTGCTTTTTGACCCACTTTTGTATATATAGATTTAGCTGGAATTACACTTTTAAAATGTTCTGACTTACAAACAAATTCAACTTAAGAACAAATCTACAG